ATGTTTTATAAATAAATATCTATCGGAAAAAAAAAGGAAAAAATGATGGAAAATTTGTTTGTTTTTGTTTTTATCATTTAAATGTCCGTATGCGACATTGATCGTTATTAGCGCTCCAAGCGTTTTTTAAATAAACTAATAAATTTTCAATCGGGTTTTTAGAAAATTGTGTGACGTAATAGACGAGGGGGGGGAAAGCATTGTTGGTAAACAAATGAAAAACGTTTTAGATTTTTTTTTTTTTGGTACATTTATGGAAATTTTAAAACGATTGTTATAAAATTTTATTTAAATTAATTTATTTAGATTATAGTTTAAATGAAAAAATAAAAAACCGTTAAAATAAAGAAATAATAATAATAATAGTTTTTTTTCGTTCAAAACTTTTGATTTTATAATTAAGTCAATTAATAAAAAAAAAAAGATGGAAAATTTTTTAAAATTAAATTAAACATGAGATAAAAAAAATAAGTTTTTTTTCTAACCGTTGTGACTCGGTTTCATATAAAATTTTATGTAAATTAAAAGGACGAACGTGTATTAAAAAAAAAAAAGTAAAGTAAAAAAAATTTGGTAATATAGCCTCTAACTAAAAAAAAGAAAAAAAAGATGGCGGACTTGATACGTAAAAAAAAAAAAAAAATGAGCTCAACAGTAGAAAATCTGAAAATTCAAATGGCTTCTGGGATAAGGAATTGAGCCAATTTAAAAAAAAAGTAGAAAATAAATTAGTTTTGTACGCAATAAAAAAAAAAAAAAAGAAAATTTGAATATTTACGAAGTGAGAAATTTAAAATAAAATTTTCCAGTCGGGATTTATTTATTATATCGAATGAAAAAAAAAAAAAAAAAAAGAAAAATTTTTTATTTTAACGCAGGGAGCCGCGAGATGATGATAATGATTTTAATTAATTAATAAACATTATGCGAATGTATTTTGAAATGATTTTTTTTTTTTTGAGGGTAGGATGGGGAGACAATCGGAAAAGTTTTTTTTTTAAATATTATTTTTTTCGAAATTGTTCCTTTATTGAAATCTTTTCCGAATCGAATTGATATAAAAAAAAAAAAAGGATGAAAATGACAGAATTTGAAATTGTTTTTCCCTGTAAGCCAAAAATTTTCTCACTTTTATT